GATATAAATAAGATATTTTTCACTGAATGGACTAGTAATACTAAAAGAAATGACGAAAACGGGGGACAAAATATATGAGATCCCATTAACCCCTTCGTATAATATTGTAAAAATTATGTCTGTATATATAGAAGCGTTCAACCCTCCTTTTCAATGTTGTGTTGAAGCATGGTCATATATGCATACCAAACATTGACTATAAGGATCTGGGTTAATGTGCATCTTAAAATAATGGTAAAAAATGTCCACAACATTGTTTTTCATGTTTTCTGGCCACAGTCTMATTGATTTTTGTCCACTGTTGTAGCGTTAAACTAGTGTCATCTACGTCGGTGTTTCGATTGAGATAGTAATAAAATAAAATAGTCAAATTATACGGGAAAGTAAAGAGGTATTATAGCTTTCACTGTAATCCCCCATCCAAGGGCTAAAAGTTTGATCCTCGATCCTAAAATGATGACAATCGCAACCAAAGGAGAAAAATGTGACCATTAAGCCCCAGAATAACGCATACCTCTTTACTGTCTTACTGAATTATACAGCGTAAAAAAGATTTTCGGATGTTTGGACGCTGACCCGTCGTATTATAGATTAATTTATTTTTATGTAATTGAAGAGTTCTCAAATTTTTCAACAGAATCCTGGTCCCCAACTGAAATTTTATTTTTTTGGGTTATCCGTTAGAATGAGTACCTGCTAACGCTAACGCTACTGCTAATTAACGCTGCCGTTATCGCTACTGCTAACGCTACCACAACGGCTAACGCTAACGCTACGGCTAACGCTAACGCTACTGCTATCGCTTACGCTAACGCTACTGCTAACACTAGCGTTACCGTTACCACTACTGATTATATTGAAACAAAAAGATAAAAAACTTCTAGTGTTACAAACCTTTTCTAAGTCAGAATCAGGAACATCTGTATTTTCAAATATTCTCTCAGAGCTTGTTGCCGATGCAGTCAAGGCGTTGCTTATCGCTGAGAATGTTATTCCTGAAGCTAGTTCAATCTGTGCTGGTTCGAATCCTTTTCGTTTTGAAGTTCTACTGATAACATGTACAGCACGTGAATAGATGTTGGTCGAGTCAACCTGGAAACCAAAATTAAAGCMCACATTGAGTTGAATGTTTATTGAAATCTAAAATAATCAAATTATAATACATATAATAGGTAGATAAATATTTACAATGATAGTAATAATAAATGTATAATAATATTAAAAGATGTAAT